CTAGCTTGCATGCTAGTATTTTGCTTAGTACTTGTCGTTATGATTTCTCATCACAAACTGTTCAGTTATGACATGATCATTTTGGGCATACAAATTTTAAATATTTATGTATGTTATTTCCTGCTTTGAGCAATGCTTGTATTAGTGGTAAACTTAACTATGTTATATATTCCCTATCGAAACATATTCGGACCAATTATATTCCTCGCATGCACTAGTCACCCAAGCCATTTGACCTAATATACTCTGATATTTGGGGACCCTCTCCTGTTAATACTCTGTCAGGTGCTCGATATTATGTGACATTTATAAATGACCATACCCGTTGTACTTGAGTTTACCATTTGCATAAGAAGTCTGATGTACTCCTGTCATCACTCAGCTTCTCCAAATAATTAAAACACAATTAGATGTCATTGTTTGTGCTCTTCATTTGGATAATGCCAAAGAATGTGTCCGATGCCTTAGTGTCTCACCTTTCTTCTCTAGGTATCCTTCAACAGCTTATTTGTCCATATACTCCTGAGCAAAATGAAGTTGCTAAAAGAAAAAATAGAAGTCTAATAGGGATGGTATGTTGTATACTTAGAGGAATGGGGGTACCAAAATCTTTTTGGCATTTTGTTGTTTTGACTTCTACCTTTCTATATAATCGTATACCGAGTCGTATTCTTCAGCATAGGGCTCCCTTACAACTCTTATTCCCTGAGCGAACACTTTTTCTAGTCCCCCCTCGTGTATTTGGCTGCACATGTTTTGTTCAGGATCGATCTCCTACTCGCCATAAGCTTGATGATAAAGTGATTCGTTGTATCTTTGTGGGCTATTGCCATCAGTTTAAGGGGTATCAGTGTTATGATTCTATCAGGCACCGTATGTATCACAGTCTAGATGTTACCTTTCTTGAGCCCATTCCTTATTTTTCTTCCATTCCTGTGTCTGCCCCTCTAGCTGATGATACTCCTTTTGATTTTCCGTTACTACAAGAGCCAGAGCCATTGGTCACTATCACTACAGAGTCATCAGTTTCTCCTCCATCAGAGCCACTCGTCCCTGTCAGTACAGAGTCACCAGTCACTCTTCCTTTGCAGGTTTATTTTCGTCACCCTCGCTCTCATTCTCCTGCTGATGTCCTCTTTACCTCAGGCGATGCAGGTAATACTTCTCAGTTAGTTGAGCATATTGATGCACCTATTGTTAGTACTGATGAGATTGCAGGTATTGAGCCAGTTACTTTCCCTGATGAGACATTGTTAGTAGAGGATGATGATTTAGGGCGTCGTTATCCGCAGCGTAATTATACGTGGGATCTTATCTCTTTACCTTTAGAGGTGAAGCCTGTTGGCTGTTGCTGGGTTTATACCCTGAAGTTTCTTGCGGATTGTACTATTGATTGTCACAAGGCTAGGCTTGTGACGAAAGGCTTTACTCAGGTACCAGGTCGTAATTTTGGTATTACCTTTGCCTTTGTGGCAAAATTGACTACTGTTCGATTGATTATTTCTCTGGTTGCGGAGTACTCTTGGCCTCTTTATCAGTTGGATGTGAAGAATGCATTTCTTCACGGTAATCTGGACTAAATTATTTATATGGGTGCACTACCGGACTTTTGTGGTGAGGGGGAGTATGCTGAAAAGGTATGTCGACTGCAGAAGTCTCTTTATGGACTGACACAGTCACCATGAGACCATGAGCCTGGTTCTATCGCTTTAGTGATGTAATTGTATGTTTAGGGTTCACCAAATGTCATTCTGATCATACTTGCTTCATTCGACGAAATATTTCTGGACAGTGTGTCATTCTTTTGGTATATGTTAATGATATTATTATTACTAGAGATGATGTTTCTGGGACTGCGTAGGTCAAGGTAGACCTTGGGCAGGCCGTCGATGTGAAGGACTTTGAATTTCTGACTTTCTTGGAATTGAGCTTGCCTATAGCAGCAATGATATTGTTATTTCTCAGAGAAAGTATGTTTTGAATTTTCTCTCAGACACTGGGATGTTGGGATGCAAACCGACATCATCACCCATGATTTCAAACTTGAAGTTTACTGTTGAAGGTGAGGAGTTGAGAAATCCGACTGTCTATCAGAGATTGGTAAGTAAACTTATCTACCTAGCTAACACTAGGCCAGACATTTCATTTGCTGTCAGCCGAGTTAGTCAGTTCATGCACAGACCATGTCAACCTCATCTTGATACAGTTTATCATATTCTTTGGTACCTCAAGTCTTGTCTTGAACTTGAGTTATTCTATGTATCAGGATCTCAGACTGATTCTCTAGCCTATTATTCAAATTCAGATTAAGGGACAGCGTGTGATGGTTGATCTACTACGGACTTTTGTGTTTTTCAAGGGACTCATCTTATCTCTTGGAAGAGCAAGAAGCAGCCAGTTATCTTTCGCTCGCCAGCAGATGCAGAGTATCAGACACTGACACTTGGCACATGTGAGATTATTTGGCTACAATCGATTTTTGGCGAGTTGGGATTTTCAATGACTTCTTTATCTACATTATATTGTGATAATCGATCTGCTATTCAGCTCGCTTCTGACTCTGTATTACCCGAGAGGACGAAACATAGAGAGATCGATATTCACTTCCTTCGGGAGAAGGTTAGCAGTGGTATTGTCACTCCATCGTTCGTGGGGACTAATGATCAGGTTGCGGATGTTTTCACTAAACCTGTCACTCTATCCATTCTTCGGGACTCTGTTGTCAAGCTTGATTTAATTGATATTTTTGCGCCTACCTTGAGGGGGAGTGTTGGAGATATAACAATCTAATTTATTAGGGTTTATTTTATTTTACTTTTTTTATCCTTATTGTAAACTTTCATTGGCTATATATATAGGGGTTCTACAATTAATTTGTATCCCTTTTCACTTACATTTATTCCAAGTATCAGTAAATGGAAGCTCAGGCCCACATATTTTAACCCATCGAAAGTAAGGTTATAACCTACTAGTCTATATCACTTGTCCATAAATCTGGGCCAACATGAATAAGGTATTTAGAAGTACAAAAACAAAAATTTGGCCAAAAAACTCTCACAACGTGGACAGTTTGTTCACCCTCACTTGACTGACAAGTGATCTTGAAGATCCAACAGAGGGCAAGCTGCCAGAACTATTCTCATTCCCTATATTGGTCAGGTTTCTGCACTTCCAAAACAGGAAGCAGACATGCTAAAAGTTCATTAAGGCTCTTCTAACATGCGTAACGAGTACGTGTCTGTAACCTTCAACAGCCAACCTCCATGAAGGAGCACACCTGAGTTTCTACGAATCACCATGAAAACAAGCTCAAATCGTATCAAGTGGGTTTTTGCGAGATTTCATAGTGGGGGCAAGTGATCAATTTTAATTTTCAAATAAACTCTAAAATTTCTTAAAATTGCAGCACCTAACCCCACTACATATCCACCTATAGGTTCTGAAGAGGCTTAGTTGGGTGCTTTAAAACCTGGATCCTCCTTATTAGATATTCAGAGGGAAAAAAGTCATTCCTCAAGCCCATAGGCTCATAGCAGCTAATGAATATGCATCCACTAGCCACTAGCCACTAGCAGCAATGCAATGCCACTTATTCCATCGAAAAATAGAGGTTACATAATGCAAACAACTTATATGGACCCTGGCCTTGGGGTAGGTGGTAGCACTCCACCCCCTTCTCCTCCTTACGCTTGTCTTAGGTTTGGGTCTTCCCACATGGTAAGTGTGTGTGCCTTTATGCATTTATAATACATCAGTCACTTATTCACTTGTCCTAGGTTGATGAAAATACTGAAAAAGAAAAAGTTCTCAAAGTTCGGGCAATAATTCCTTATAAAACATCAACAGCGTCTCATACATATGCTATTTCAGTAAGAAAATTTATTGGATATAGTGAATTCAACTTGCAAGAAAATAGAACAAGCTGGTATCTGGTGTTGGCTTCAGACAACAAAATCTGATGAAATTTCTGAAAAAAATTGATCTCCTAGAAGCAACCTAAGTTGAGTTTCTTTAGAATTAAATAAAAACCTAGATGATATGTAAGAAAGAGGAAGGCAGAAAGGGAGAAGAATAACATTACATAATACATACCCGATGGCCAATATATTTAGCTCTTCGGAGGCATTCACGATAAAGCTAGAACACAAAATAGATAAGTAAAACCAGGAAGTTGAATTAGATTATAGTGGGTACAAAGATTTCAATGCAAAAGCTACAAACAAATATGGTATTAAGAGAAATGTATCATCTTTTGTGCACAGGACTTTTCTTTAAAATTAAAAAAAAAAGAAGGAAATAATATAAATAAAACTTACTCTGATGACATTGTTGGCAAGCTCAGGGGGCAGGGCTGTTTGAAGAGACGGCATGATTTGTCTTTCTTTTTGCTTTCAATATCCTTTTGATTTTTAGATAACGATTAGAACATAAGCCCTAATTAATAATATACTGAATTCAAATCAAAAGCATAAAATTAAAAGTTTTTACAGTCCAAATATTCAACCACGAGAAAAATTTATCAAATATATAATGATACAATCATCGCTGTTATGTTACTTCCATTTTCAAAAAATGAGAACCTGTGACTGTGTAAATTCATATCATGCTATGAAAGTAGGGCAAATCATCATGGCTTACCCGACGAGAAGACTGTTGCAGTTGCAGTCGCAGTCGCAGTCGCAGGCGGGAGGGAGAGGGAATGTATCTTCGTCGCAGGTAGACTCCCAGCGACGTCTGTCAGATACTACGAACGACGTCGTGCAAAACGTTTGGGTGGACTGGAGTCTGGATGGATACCCTCTAGTCTAGACTACTTCTAGATCTGCTGGGCTTCCTCCACCTTACATTTTGGAATGGGTTTGGGCTTTGGTCCACTCCACCCTTGGATTGGAATAGACTCAACACAAGTTTGACAGGATTTGAAAATTGTCCGTCAGTCCTTAAAAGTATATGTAAAGCTTGCGTGCGTTAAGGCCCTTGTGTGGCCCTCCCTCGGTCCCACACAACAGCAGCTCACGAGATCGGATCATCTTCTCGCGACAAAAGAAAGGTGTATAGAGGTGTGTGCTCCTCCTGAGCGAACATACGTCGTCGTCTTCTTGGACAACCAACCAACGAATCTAGAAGCACCATAGGGGGAACAGTACTGTTGTTACTTTACTCAGAGGTTACTGAGAAGAACATCCAGCTTTGCTTAAAGTACACACACCCCCACCCCCAACCCCAACCCCAACCCCCAAGATGTCTGTTCTGTTCAATGAAAAACATGTTTAATTTGTAGATCCAAATGTTTTATTCCGTTGCCGTTGATGCTAAAGAACGAATCGAATTCTATTTATTTCGGAAGCACTTTTGTTAACTTTTTCATCTAAAGATCTACCTGTTTTTTTTTGGCTTGCCCGCTAAAAGCAAGCATTTTTGCTTCAAAAATCCAAGAAAAAGTGCTTACCCAGCTCGCTTTTTTCTTTGTGCATTGTAAAGTGTCCAAACCAGGATTGATTGAAACTAATAGGGAATGAGGAAGTGGTCCGGAGGGGTGTTGATTCTACTACTTGCTGTGATTTTGATACTTCGATACAGCAATTTTATGATGGTAAAACCACCACCACCACCACAGAAGCAGCAGACAGCTTATGATTTCTTCCATACCCAACCAAGCAACGATTCTACTTCAAAAGAAGACAGCAATGGAGATAATAAGCCTGTTCAGAGTAAAGCAAAAAGACAGCAAAGTGTTGACATAAGGCCCCACCTCATCGATGTTGAAGGCCTAAGTTATCTTTATTATTTTCTGAGTAATGTTACCAAAGAAGAGTCTAAGGCGTTGCTCGTGTGGGCTCAAAATCAAATGCGTCTTTTACTCTCTCGGTCCGATGCTTTACCTGAAACAGCTCAAGGGATCAAAGAGGCTGCCATAGCCTGGAAAGAATTATTGTCCCTAGTTGTTGATTCCAAGTCTAGTGATTTTGGCAAGAAAGAGAAAGATTGTCCTTACTATGTTAGTGCTCTCAGTTTCAACACAAGTGTATTGGGCGGTGGTACTAGTGTTCTTGACATCCCTTGTGGTCTTGTTGAGGACTCATCCATTACCGTGATTGGCATTCCCGATGGGCAACAGGGTAGCTTTCAAATCGAACTCACTGGGTCTCAACTTCCAGAGGAGCCAAAGCCTCCTATAGTTTTGCATTACAATGTGATTTTACCTGGAGACAACCTGAAGAAGGAGCCAGTCATATTTCAGAATTCATGGACTACTGAACTTGGCTGGGGAAAGGAGGAAAGATGTCCTCCTGATCATAGCTCCACAAACTTCTCCAAAGGTACATTGATTTCACAACAAGTCATTTTCTAAGTTACCTTTGTTTCTCTCTGTAGAGTTCCATTACTCCAGTGTGTATGCAGCATATTCAGCACTTTTGCTCTTGCTCTACATAATACATTCCTCCTTCATGTTAGGGATATTTCTTAACTGAATGCTGGGAAAATTCAATTCATTGATTATAATTGCAGTGCGAAACAAATTAAAATGATTAAAATCTCCTTCAAAATGTTAATTAACTGATGGACTCATGGAGTTCATTGGCAACACGGATAGTGTGGCTTTTAGGTTAAAATTAGTAGTTTGCTATCTTATCTATTAAGAAGATCGCACAGATGCATTCCTTATCCAGATTGGGTCTGAGAATCCTTTATTGCTTGATGGAATATACAAGGAAAACCATTATGCTAATGGACAGGTTAGCCGACGGATATGATTACCACCTAGGCACCTAGAATGCTTAATTTGAACAGCTTTTACCAAATTATGTTTTATATGCATTCCAAACAGGTACTTCTTCTGAAGCATCAAATGTCCAATTTTTTTATTGTTGTTTTATAATCCAGCATGTCTGAAGAAGTTTAACTTGACTTCTAGTTATGTACAATTGTAGGATCTTTAAACAAAGTAACAAATGTTATCCAAATGCTAAGGCCATCTGATTGATAGAATAATTCATGAGACTCGCTTTAATGTTTGACTGTCGGTCTAGGCAAAGGAGATAGATATCATTCCTTACTATGATTCTGCTTTTTGAAATTACATAGTTACAAAATTTAAATGTTAGTTAAGAAAATGAAAATTATATCTTGGTCATAGAGCTAGATTGGACAACCATGTAACTACTTAATTGATTGGGTAGTTGGTTGAGAATCATTTCATAGCTGTCACCAAGTCTAATATGGCTACTTGTAGTTCATCCTCAATCCGATAAACGCTGGACTATTTCTACTTTCAATCATTTCATAGCTGTGATTTTGCTATTGCTACTTTCAATCAATCATTTGACGCATAATAACACACAATTCAGTGGATGGACTTGTAAAGTGCAATGCACGAGTTCTCAGAAGCACTGTGGAAGATATTTCAAATGCTAGCCATCCCAATGGTGACAAATTAGCCAATGTTTCCACTGGTGCCCACGTGAGCGCCAATTTTCCATTTGTCGAAGGTAGCCAGTTTACTGCTACATTGTGGGCTGGTGTAGAGGGATTCCATATGACTGTGAACGGCAGGCATGAAACCTCATTTGCATATAGGGAGGTAAGGTATGATGCTTTTGACAATTTTCACATCAATAGGAGGCTAAGTGATTGTATGTCGTTGAATAATCTGAAAAAGTGGGATAATTCCATCCCTGGATGCCATTTTTACATATGCAGAAACTTGAACCATGGTTAGTCAGTGGAATTAATCTAGAAGGTGGTTTGGGTCTTGTATCTGTCCTAGCCAAAGGATTGCCTGTTTCTGAAAATCTGGATTTAGCTGTTGATGTTGAGCACCTCAAAGCTCCACCAATTTCCAAAAAAAGGCTGGTAATGCTGATCGGTGTTTTCTCAACTGGAAATAATTTTGAGCGTCGGATGGCATTGAGAAGATCTTGGATGCAATATCAAGCTGTTCGTTCCGGGAGTGTAGCTGTCCGCTTCTTCATTGGTCTTGTAAGTGAGGCATTGCAAACTGGAGGACATTTGTTACTTTACAACCAAGGGAGTCTTTACATACTTCTATTTACAGTTTCTGCACAGAAACGAAATGCTGTAATATTCCTTACCTAGTTTATCTTGTATGCCTCACTAGTTCTAAGATCTTACATCTAACTACTGCTTTGAGGGCCTGATTCTGTAATATGAAGGAACTAGGTAGCAGAAAGATCTGAAATTGATTATTGGAGTCTCCTTCAGTTTGTCCTTTTATTTTTGATTGATATTCTTCAGAGCATGTTCAGACACTAGGAATTTTGGGCTAGCCAGTTCAAAAAGACCAGATCCTGCCTTACTAGGATGAAATACTAATCCATGCAGCTCCACAGGTCCTCTTAATGAGGCTAAGTACTCAAAATCATAGTTAAACCTGAACTAGTGACTATGGTTGTTCATGCAGATTAACCAAATATGTACTCATATTTCCAGGATTTTACATTTGAGAAAGGTGAAAGAATTGCTTCTGTAAGGAAAGTTTTGTTCTAATGTACTTGCTGTACTAATTGACTATGTTGTTCTTTCCCAGAAGATTAATTTATTGATCTGATTTCTTTTTTACACTAGCAGAACAAAAATACTCAGGTCAACTTTGAGCTGTGGAGAGAATCTCAAGCATATGGAGATATCCAGCTAATGCCATTTGTTGATTACTACAGCCTGATCAGTTTGAAAACTATTGCCATTTGCACTCTGGGGGTAAGTAGATACATATACTTATAGACAAAATAAAGTGAATCCGGCTGTTACTTATTTCTAGAAATTTCTGGGAGCAGAAACTTTTGTGGCCTTCACATCACATGCTACTGCAATAATATCTTTATTTTCTTTCCCTGACTTAATTTATGTTGATGTCTGGAAACACTTTTTGATTTGGTTTCACCAGAGAAATAAGGAAAATTAGCAAAGGAAAAAAAGAATGCCTACGGAATTTTGTTCTTCTTATCTTCTATTTTTATGGAGGTAGTCAAAATTGTAAATAGAGGAGGTTTGTTAAGTAAAGTGCAAACCATATCCTTAAGCCTGGAACTTGGTAGTTTCTGCAAACACCAGGATCAGTGCCTAGCATCTGACCATTATAATACTTTTTTGTAGGAAAAGGGAACTAAATAGTATTAGTGGTCCAATAAATACTTTTATATTAAAACTCAAGCTCATAAACTCCATATAGGATGGATGTAGTGCAGTATTGTTTTGGAGTGACATTTTCTCTAAGAAGATAATAAATCTGAAGACTATATTTTGTTGTAACAGGTTAGTCTTTAGCACATAAACCCAGGGCTTTAAGATTTTTTCTATAGAATTTGGTGGATCAAGTTTTTGTTTCATTTTTCCATATCAAACCATTCAGAATCTTCATTCTGTTCTCTATTTTTGGGTTCACATATGAATTACTGGTACTTTGAATCTGCAGACAAAAGTCCTCTCTGCTCAATATATAATGAAAACAGATGATGATGCTTTTGTTCGGATTGATGAAGTTCTATCTAGTCTCAAGGGAAAGGATTCTAATGGCCTCTTATATGGCCAGATATCCTTTGAATCACAGCCCCATAGGGACAAAGACAACAAATGGTATATCAGTACAGAGGTATCGATTGTTTCCGTTTTCTCATAATAATCTCAGTGGAATTTACCGGCTTTTGTTAGCAAACAACTCATTCGAACGCTTATTTAGGAATGGCCACATTCTTCCTTCCCGCCATGGGCACACGGTCCAGGTTATATAATTTCACGAGACATTGCAAAATTCATTGTTCAAGGCCACCAAGAAAGGGTCCTCAAGGTAAGTTTCATCTACAACTAATGTGGGCAAAACAGCATTATGTCCACATGTTGTCTTTCCTCATTATGTCGGCGTTGGTTGCCAAAATTTTTTCCTCTTTTATGGATTAGAGAGTACTGCTCGTCTGTCTCTGGAAATATTTATTTTTGATAAACTGTTGAGGCTATAGTTTATGAAATATTTAAAGCTCAATTCCGTTATTTCAGCCCTTGACTTCATCGTCAAGGCTCCTTGGTATCCAATAGGCTAAGTTATAATGAATAACTCAGATGTTGAACACTGAACCATTTTTTGATAGTATACTCAGGAACTGATTTGAGTCTTGACATCATTGTACTGTTAGGACTTAAAACATGTCACTTAAAATTCTCAGTTGTACGGCTTAGAATGTGTTACATAAAACTCACACTAGTGCCAAAAATTACCACATCATAGTGTTTCTGAGTTTCAAAATTCCATCTTATCCAAATCACCAGAGTTCCTGCTATCTTATGTCTTCTCAGCTTTTTAAATTGGAAGATGTTGCCATGGGCATATGGATTGAGCAATTCAAGGAACATGGTCACAAAGTGCAGTACATTAACGATGACCGATTTCACAATGCTGGATGTGAGACAGATTATATCCTCGCACATTATCAGAATCCAAGGATGGTGTTATGTTTGTGGGAGAAGCTGCAAAAAGAGCATGAGCCTAATTGCTGTGAATGAAATGTAAAGCTATAAACCCCAAATAGGCAGCGGTATTGACAGCTGAATTGTAGTCTTTGCGAAGTTGATCCTGTAGGTTTTGGAGAGCTTCATTCGTTGTCTTTTCAATTCTACCATGGTGGATTGGATTGTTCTCTTTTGTTCTTATCGTTACTAGCTTTTGTATTTAGATCCACAGGTTTGGTCTCACAAATTGTTATTAACTTGTTACGAAATTGTAATGATTGATGTAAATACTACGAGATATAATGTCTGAAAATTGGTTGCTGATTTGAGCTCTAGAGACGATCAAGCTGAAAGGGTCAGGTCTGGTCCGGTCCTAAAGCGTTGGATTCAAAGATTTTTCGATTCCCAATTTTCCAACTGAGCAAATAGGTGAAGGAGAACAATAATTATCAAGTTAGGCGGTGCATGGGAAATTTTTTTGGACATGCAATTGCGTTACAGTCGTTTTTCAGCACAGAATGACGACCCTCGCCCCAACAAATTTAACTAGATTCTTCGGTATTCTTAAAATATTTATATCTATATAATAAAATATAATACAATTCAAATATCAAAACATAAATAAAATGACTTTTATTTTTGCTGTTGAGATTTTTTAAAATTTCACTTTAAAATTAATCTAACGGTTAATGTTAAGACTCTAAATTTAATAGGAAATATAGAACCCTAAATGTGTATTTGAGATGATTTTTTAAAAGTGTTTTTATAATTTATAACTTCTAATAAGTAGTTTTTTTTTTAAAAAATAGTGTTTGAAACCATTTTACCATCACTACTACCACCCCCATTACCATCCTCACCATCATCACCACTACCACCACACCACCGTCACTGCTGCCACCACACCCACCGTCTCACCACCACTACCTCATCGCCCCACCACCACCGTTGCGGCCACCCTACTACCACCCTACCACCACTAACTCCACTACCTCACCCCCATCGCCCCACCACCATCGTTGCCGCCATCACCACTGCCACCACCCTTACCGCTCCACCACCACCCTTATCACTCCACCACCACCGTCATTATCCCATCATCATTCCTACCACCTCCACTCCCATCATTGCCACTACCCTACCCCCACTGCCCCACTACCACCAACCACTAATTGCTACAATTGTCGTCTTATCACCGTTGCCCACCTTTAGCACCCACCGCCATCCACTACCACAACCCACTACCACAACCTACTACCACCTGTCGTCACCCACTAACGTCACTAGCCACTGTCACCCACTACCACCACACCTACCACCACCAACCACCATCACTCATCATCGCCCACCACTCTTGTCACTTACTATCACCCACCCCCACAACACCTACCACCACCATTACCACCGTCATTCATCACCACCTATCACATTGTCGTCCAGAAGCATCAGTCGTCGCCCACCATCACCATCGTCACTGCCCACCACCACAACCCACCAATGTCACCACCACTGCCCACCACTATAACCCACTAATGTCATCACCACCACCACCGCCACCACCATTGTCAACAATCATCACCATCTCTCATCATTACCCACACCCACCACTACTACCGTTGTCACCCATAACTGTCACTACCCTTAGCGTCACCCAAGATCCACCACCATTATCACCGTTGTTACCCACGACTGTCACCATTACCACGGTCGTAGCCATCTACCACAACCACCACTACTGCTCACCACTACTATCATCGCTCACCACCTCTATAACCGGTGATTAAATTTATTTCTGTCTCTTTTATATTTGTAATTTGATTTTGAATGAGAATACAAATATGTTTATTATTGACCCCTTTTTTATTACTATGTGCTTTCAAGTATAGATAATAACTAGTATATCTATATAATAAATTAAAATACAATTCAGATATCAAAAGATAAACAAAATGATTTTTGCTTTACATGGTTGATTTCTCTTTAAATTTTACTTTAAAATTAATCCAATGACTAATATTAAGACTCCAAATTTAATAAAAAATTAGGTCTCTAAGGGTGTGTTTGGAGAGACTTTTTAAAAGTTCTTTTAGGACTTATGACATCTCATGAGTATTTAAAAAAAAAAGTAATATTTGAAATCGTCCCACCACCGCCCCCATCGTCCCACAACCATCATCACTACCATTGTCGCCACCCTACTACCACTTTTACCACAACAACCACTACCACAACTGTCACTGCCACCACCATTGTCCCACCACCATTACTGCTACCACTATCGCCGTCACCCCACCACCAGCTCTGCCACAAAAAACCACCACCATCCCCACTACCATCATCATCGTCACCCCACCACCACCACCACCACCATTTTGTCGCTATAGTCACTATTCCAACATCACTTCTACCACCATTGCCCCACCCCCACCCCCACGATCGTCACCGCCATTCTACCACTATCACCGCCACTACCACCACCACCCCATCACCATCGTCATTGTCCCACCACCATCGCCATTACCTTATCACCACCCCCATCGCTGCTGCCACCAACACCACTACCCCACCACCAGCCCCACCCCTATCACATCCACTATCGATTGCTACCACCCTCGTCCACTGCCACCACCTACCACTATTGCTATCTTATTCTTATATTTATTATCACTACCATTATTATTCCACTACTACCGTTGTCCACTGTCAGCACCCACCATCACCCACTACCACAACCCAACCACTACTTGTCTTCACCCACCATCACTATCAACCATTATTACTCACTCCTACCACACCTACCACCACCAATCACCACTACCCATCATCGCCCACCTTTGTCACCATCTACTATCACCCATTCCATTGCACCTACCACCACCGTTATTCACCACCACCCATCACATTGTCACTTAGAAGCATCCGTTGTCGCCTACCACCATTATCGTCACTGCTCACCACCACAACCTACCACCACCACCACCGTCGTCACCCAATCACCCCCTATCGTCCCACCATTGTCACCCACCCCCACCATTACCACCGCTATTTGTTATTACCTATCACATTGTTGTCCAAAAACACTCGTCGTCGCCCTACCACCACCACTGCCAACCACCATCACCACCTACACCCACCTCCACCATCACTGTTATTCATGAGTGTCACTATAACCATCGTCACCCAAAATCCATCACCATCATCATCATTGCCATCCATGACTGACATTACCACCATTGTCACTCAAAATCTATCACCACCATCACCATTGCCATTTATAACTGACACCATCATTGCGGTCGTCGCCACCTACCACAACCATTACTGTCTCTCATCATCACCATTGTCGCCCAAAACCCATCATAACCATCACATTGCCATCCATGACTGACACCATCACTACGGTCGTCACCACCTACCACAACCATCACTGTCTCCCACACCACCACTGTCGCCTATTACTACTATCACCACTCACCTCCACTACAACTGTTGCTTAAATTCATTCATATCTCCTCTATGTTTGTGATATTATTTTAGGTGTGAATACAAATATATTTATTGTTGACTATTTTTTTTATTACTCAGGTCCTTCAAGCATGGACAATAACTAGTATATATATATATGATTTTTTATCAAATACAACAATCATATGGGGAGACGGAAGCAACAAATGGCACGAGGAGTAAGAGGAGATGATTCAAGAAACCGTTATCGTGCATACCAGTAGGCTTGTATATAACCTTTGGAATAATGATTTACATGCCACAGATTCTGCTGGAAAAACTTGGGCTGCATCACTGCTGCCTTGGGTTTTTTATTTTTGGGAGTTTTTTTTGGGGTCAAATTACAATTAAATTTGAAAATAAAAAAAGACTAAGATTAGATCTTAAAATGTTGGGGTCCAATCGAAACAACCTCATTTTGGTGTAACATCAGCACCAAACAAAAGTACCTGAAAGGTAGTTTAAGTCGTAACAGGAATGAGCTATAAATCTAGACGTTTTGAGTTCGAATCGTGATAACTTCTTGGGGTTAGGCCATAAGGGATTTATCCTTCATGAATTTCTTAGTCCTGGCGTAGATGTCCTGTCTTTGACCGGACAAAAAAAAGGACTAGTTGAGATGCGCATAAATTAATCTGAACATTAAAAAAAAAAAAAAAGAGTAGTAGCTAATCTCTCTCTCTCTCTCTGATTTCATAGTATTGAAAGAAATTGTGGGTCAGGCTTGATGGGGCAGATAAGTTCATTTTTCATCACAAATCATCAAAGAAAAGGAAAGAAGACGTGCCAGGTAACCAACTTGATTGGTTTTGGGCTTAAAATAGATGAATGGGATTTGTCATATAGACATGTACTTGATTTTGTATTTAGTGGTTGAATGTTAAAATCTCATCTTAATCTTGTAATGCCCACAAGCACATATCAACAAAAATTGGGCCTACCACAGATGGAGGGAGGTGCTGCATTTATTAAATAATTTGGTTTTCCAATGACAAGAATGTTTATCATATGCCTTGATACCTAGTCCAGTGCATATATTTTAAAATAGGAAGCAGTTGATCCATAATTGTTTTACCTACCATTGTTCCACGCATTGTCCTGCAGCTTATGCTCTCTTTCTTTAATTTGAAATTTCGCATCTAATGGAATTAAGTAGTCGACTAGAGGTACCATTGTAACACGATGCATACATCTCAACGGTGGTTTCTTGATTCTCATCCAAAACAATCGATTGAGGGTTTGGTCTTGATTGTTATAATTAATATTTATTCTCACACCACTTAAAAGTAAAATAGTCAAGTAAAACATTGACAAATAGGCATTGATAAATATTTTTGCCACATTTAAATAAGTAATATCCTCGTTACCTACTAGTTTAAGTTGAATCAACCAATTCTGTCCTAGAAAAGGAGAAAACTTTGAGTCCAAGAAAAAATAAACATGGGATGGGATGGGATTTGGATTAGTGGTGAGAAGAAGTGCCACGATAAATATGTAAAAGATGAGTTGACCTATAGTGCTAACTTTACCTTAAATTCACCACTAAAAATGTGGAACATATATGGAGTGCCGAGTCATACCACACTGGCTATGGAAAAGGAAAAATGCCAGTTGAGTCTTCTATTCAAATGGTTTGTTGTGACCCTAACATGATAACTAGTACAATGACTATGAAAGGTTAGTTAGCATAAAAGGATGAACACAGCACAATGTCGCTCTCTCTCTCTTTCTTTCTTAGCTCAATGGTTCTTCTCCAATGGTTAAGAAGTTTCATCGATGTATAACTTGGTGTTGAGACTCTCCTCTTTTTCTTAGTGGTGGATTAATCAACGCTATACAATAAAAAAAATAAAAAATCTTGTAATTTTTAGAAAACTGAAATAAGACATATAAAAAAGTGATGCAATGATTATGGTGCATGAACAAAATATAACAAAGAAATATGATGCATTAAGTTATTTTTGTGTGGTCTATAAAGATGCTCGTTCTTCTTATGAAACCAAATCTCCTTTGATGTGCCAAGTAAACCGAACTCGGGGGTCAAAACATAATTTTGATTATTGAACTAATTGTTTCTCAAATTTTGGTAGCTATATGTATTAACATTTTTTTTTTTTGGAGAGATAGTTTAAATGGTAACATATTAATAGAAATAAATGATAAATTTAGACCTCTTGAGTTCAAATTTTGATAAAATTTTTAAGTCGGATTTGTCCATCCTAATCTTAACTTAGGAAGAAGGCTTCTCTTTGATTGGACAAAAAAAAAAAAAAAAATTGATTCCAATTGTAGAAAGAAAAAAAAAAAACATTTTCCGTATAAGATTAGGAAACCTACTACCTAGGGGGGGTCAATAAAAAAGCATATAATTCAGGCCGACTGGGTAATGGATTCACATTGAACATTACATTACAAATCTACCCCGCGTACTTTTTGCGTGTAGCAGTAGGACTCCAATTTTTTTTTTCTTCTGGATATCCCACTATAAAAGTGGCCTCTATTTCCTTAATCAGCGAGCGTGTCTCACGATACAAAACCCTAACCTCTCTCAATTCCCAATATTCCCCAGATTCTGAATCTATCTATCTATCTATCTATCTATCTGAAGCTGCTTTAGAATTAATCAAGCATTCAATCATTTACACGATCAATCGACAACAATTATATCATCGGCTTTTTTTTATGTTTGATGATTGTATGAAGACCTTCAACATGGTAGGCGAAGCAGAGATTTTATGTCAACAAACCATCTCCGTTCAGTATCTTTGCTCCCCCAAACCCATCGACAAAGGTTTCTTCGATGCCCTTACGCCGTCGCCCTCTCAGATGTCCCGTGAAGGCCGTGCTTCCGAGCCTTTGTCCGGCGAAGTCTCGCGTTCTGAATCGGTACGTGTTTATTTTTTCTACTCTTATCTCTCTTTTGTTTTCTTGATCCAAGATTAATTGATGAATATGGTGACATTTTTTAATATTTATCTTTTTATGAATTTTTACGACTATGTTTTAATTGTATATCAGGGTTCTATAGCTGGTATTAACCATAAATTCCTTTCCTTGATTGAAATTAGGGTTTTGATGTCTACTTTTTATTGATGGTTGTGTTTTATTGCACGTAGACATACGTGCATCTAGATTTGAAGATGCTTGGAATGAATAAACTGTTTTGAAAAATTGGAATTTTTCTAGGTGCAATAGTGTTTTGGTTTTGGTTTTGATTTTGATATTCTTGGAAATCTAATGTTTCCTGATGGTAACACGTTTATTAATTGGTGTTACCTTGCATAATTGGGATTTTTCGAGGCATAATATCTCTTGAGTTGATCTTGATATTTTTTAAAATTAGGTTTAAGTTTTCTGATGGTCACATTCATACTGCTTGCATTAGTTTTGCTGCAGAAATTGTTCGTTCTTCTGATTTGTGGATGATGGCATGTTTGCCTTGTTTCTTTGGTAATTTTCACCATGATGCGTTTTTTTTTGGCTGAACAGAAACCTTAAACTATGTAATCAGCTTCTTCTTGGTTTCATTGTTAAATATATAATCAACTTCATAAGGAATTGAAGAACTTGTTACAACAGTTTTTTTTCTCTTTCTGGTCTTAGCTTTACTCAGACTTGGGATATACTTGGACGCGGGCTTACTTTTTCTTTTGTTCTGGATTATCAGGTTGTTAGCTGCTCAACTAGTATTCCAACTGCAGTCATTGAGACGACCAACACAAAGTTTGTTCCAAGCATTCGCTCTGGTAGCCACACGGACACTGGACCTCGAAGATGCAATGAAGATGAACACATTAGAGTTGATGATCTATCGGCCCACTTGGGTTCACAATACAAGTGGCCTCATCCAAGTGCCTTTTATGCTGTTTTTGATGGTCATGGAGGCTCTGACGCAGCAGCTTATGTCAAGAACAATGCTATGAGATTGTTCTTTGAAGATGCCGATTTGCCACAAACATCTGATATTGATGAAGCTTTCTTGGAACATTTGGAGAATTCTCATCGCAAAGCATTTTTACTTGCTGACCACGCCATGGCTAATGATTGCAGTATTCCCACCTCTTGTGGAACAACAGCACTGACTGCCCTTGTACTTGGCAAGCATCTACTGGTGGCAAATGCTGGTGATTGTCGTGCAGTTCTTTGTAGGAAAGGAGTTGCGCTGCAGATGTCTCAAGATCATAGGCCTACTTATTTACCAGAAAGAACAAGGGTGGAAGAGTTAGGCGGTTCCATCGAGTATGGGTACCTTAATGGTGAACTTGCAGTCACCCGTGCCCTTGGGGACTGGTATATGAAGCTTCCCATTGGGTCTTCATCACCTCTCACTGCAGAGCCAGATGTTCAACAAATAATGTTAACGGAGGATGATGAATTCCTGATCATTGGTTGCGATGGTATATGGGATGTTATGTCAAATCAGGAAGCAGTCTGCCTTGTTCGGCATGAGCTAAGGCAACATGATGATCCACGGCAGTGTGCCAAAGAACTAGTTAATCAGGCATTGTGCCTTCAAACCGACGATAACCTCACTGCCATTGTTGTGTGCTTCACTTCCCCTGTTTGTCGAGATTCAGTTCCTTCGCAGAGGCCAAGGTTGAGGTGCTTCAGTCTGTCTGAGGCGGCCCAGAACAAGTTGCGAAGCTTACTAGAAGGCAACTAAATGCGAAATCATATTAATTTTTTGGCCAAGAAAATGTACAATTGCAGAGTGTATATATTCAAATTATTTTAATGAAAGGATTGTTTCTGTTTATGGCTGCTGCTTCAGATTAGTGAGAAAAAGCAGCCAGCAGTTTTGTTGTAATATTGGTTGCTTTCAATGGCGATTAGATTCATTGAGGTAGCCCGTTTTACAGTTACTTTAATGTTGTTATGTGAATGTGATATATAAATAACACATCTCAGTTCAATTTGTTTCCAGCATATTGTCTCTGTTATTTGTGTTTGAGGGTGTTGTGACAGTGAACTTTGAGTGGCGTGTGGATAACTGACCGTGCTCATCATCCTCATCAGGCTATAACCTCTCTCCACCAAACAATAAGATGGGTGAGATGTGTGAGGACACAATTTTCTGATGTAAAGCTCTAGCAACCAGTGGTAAAATATCGGAATATCTTGCACTTTATGCTAATAAAATCCCCAGTCACACATATTCTCAAACAACAATCTCTGCATGCTGGCACGCCCAACGCCATAAACTGATGGATTCCCTAACTTTAAGACAAGCAAGACAAGAACAAGATCAATAGTGTTTGTTTGTGTCCTAAACGTAACTTTGTCAAACATCATCATCTTGAATAAGTAAGTATGTGAACCTGCCCAGTGAAATCAAGCAGTGAATTACTTGGGCTTTGACTCGTATATTTTGTGATTTTTTGTAATTTTGATGATCTCTAAAGTAAAGTCCAATTGTGAATTACTTGAATTTGGCTGGTAATTTTGATGAACTTCTTAAACTTGACACGTTATTTGGATGAACTCAAAAGTCCAAATGAAGTTGAAACTTGAGCTTTGTGTTTTATAGATTTAAAGGGCAGTAACAAACTTTTTCAGCTGATTATTGCATTTTGTGGAGTTTTGTATTCCATTTAATATAATTGTTATACTAGGTAAAGAAGTGTAAATCTTTTTACTTGTATTTTTTATTAAATAATAATACCACACGATGGTGATGATTAATGTCATAATTACATTCAATATTTACTCTTGCTCTAGTCCTCACCAAACAAATCATCAGATGGAGGGACAAAGTTAAACGGCGCCAATTCATTCTGACTAACTACTTCATGGGTCGTAGCTACAACAGATCCCAGCTACAATAACGAAAAAAAATAACTAAACAGACAAAAATAGATAAATAAATTAATAAAAAGCCGACTCTCAATTAATCTTCAGACTCGAATTGAGACCCAGCTGAGTCTTTTACACCAAGACCTAACCCGATTGATTGGAAGCGAAAATGGCAATGACCAGCTTTGCCAGACGAAAGGCATCTACGCTTCTCTCGAAGCATCTTCACACCAATTCCAAGTACTCTCTCTCTCTAACCAGAGGTTTCGCTTCGGCGGGATCTGAGGAGAACGACGTCGTGGTCGTCGGCGGTGGTCCTGGCGGCTATGTGGCCGCCATTAAGGCTGCTCAGCTAGGCCTCAAGACCACGTGTATCGAGAAGCGTGGTGCTCTCGGTGGCACCTGCCTCAACGTCGGTTGTATTCCTTCTAAGGTAGTCTATTTTTATATCCTCGCCCCCTCGTCCGTATGAATGTGTTTTGTTATTTATTTATATCTGATATGATGTATATTTGTATTGTTTGATTTGAATTACCGACTTGCCAGATCTAATTGGTTTCTGATTATTGGCCGTTGTGTATATTTGATTTCGTTGTGTGTTTGATGAATATGTATTGGAGTTGGTTAAGTTGTGGTTACTGTTTGTATGTCAACTTAAAAAGTCTTGATTTTTATGGAAGTAATTGAAGATTGGTTGGACACAGGATCATGCTTATATGTACGTATACAAGTTAATTTGTCAAATTTATGATTTTATCAGTGGCATGTGAATGGAATTTCTCAGTAATTCATAGAAACGCAAATAGTTGCTGAATCATGGCTGATTTTTCTTCATTATTTAATGACTATGGAATGAAAAGATATCATAAATTTTTAGCACTAAACAGTGATTCTTTAAAAAAAAAAATCCAGTGCTAAACATTAATTTTCAGCACAAACATGGTTCAGTTGGGCCGGTATACATTTTTACGAGGCAAGCACTGATTTTCGATTCAATATAATTTTTTTCCTTTCAATCAACAATCTTTTTTTTTTTTTTTGGTTATTAAAATTCCATTTTCTTGAGTGGTACAAATGTGGTGTGATGATCACCTAAAAGAAGTGCTTATTTGGGTATGTGATGAGAAGGAGTGATAACTTCATGACTGATGCTTGATGGTTTTGAAGTAGGTTTCTGAGTAAAGTAGCTCTACTACGGCACTTCAGCTAGACAGAGTGAAAAATAATTTATCCGTCAGCTGCAGCTTTTCACTTCAGATTTGATACTCCTTTGTTTATTTAAATACGTGCTAGACATATAAAACTACAAATGACGCAATTTATGGCTTTTGCAAGGATTAATTCGTGATGTAATGCCCATATTCACGAATTTCAGTGACATAGATTTGTTCTCTCCCAATTGCACAACACATTGGTCACTCCAAAACAGGGCATTCTAAGTTGCGTAGGTGTTGAAAATATCATTGTTCTTGGAAGATTAGTGTCCTTTGTTTTTTTTTTCCTTTAAGAATTTAGTGGATTTGAGTAGATATTAACAAACACATGGTGGTGATACACAATTTTTTTTTTTGGAGGTGGGGGTCCCAAATTCTATTTTACTTTCACCTGGAAGTAGGAAGGGTTGATAATTGCTGTACTTATTGTGGAAGCACAATGTATTCTAAAATGATAACTTAAAGAGTGGCTTGAAGTATTGTGTAGTTTTACTTTCTTTGAATCGTTGGCTTCCTTGTATTAACATATGCTTGGCTAGTGCTTGGTGAAATCACGTCCTTCTACAGTTCTCCTCCCCAGCCAAAACTATAAAACTCCCCCCCACCCCAAAAGAAATAAATGAAGGCCTATCCATTTTTTTGATAATCGCACATGATTATACAAAAGGCTTATGAACTACTAGTATTTTATGCACTAGCTGGCTATCAAACTTTCGTTGTGTCTTATTAAACTCTACATAATCTAAATTTCTGTGCAGGCACTTCTTCATTCCTCCCACATGTATCATGAGGCCAAGCATTCATTTGCCAGTCATGGTGTGAAGTTTCCTTCTGTTGAGGTTGATCTACCTGCCATGTTGGCCCAGAAAGATAAAGCTGTGGCTAACCTGACACGTGGCATTGAAGGTCTATTCAAGAAAAACAAAGTAAACTATGTTAAAGGTTATGGCAAGTTCGTTTCGCCTTCTGAAGTTTCGGTTGATACCCTTGAAGGTGGGAGCACTGTAGTGAAAGGCAAGAGTATAATAATTGCCACTGGGTCTGATGTTAAAAGTTTACCTGGGATCACCATTGACGAGAAGAGGATTGTATCATCAACTGGAGCTTTAGCTCTGGCAGAAATTCCTAAGAAACTTGTGGTCATTGGAGCTGGCTACATTGGCCTTGAAATGGGCTCTGTCTGGGGCCGGCTTGGCTCAGAGGTCACTGTGGTTGAATTTGCTCCAGACATTGTTCCAACGATGGATGGAGAAATCCGCAAACAATTTCAACGTACCCTGGAGAAGCAAAAGATGAAATTCATGCTCAAAACTAAGGTGGTATCAGTTGATACTTCAGGGGATGGTGTGAAGTTGACTCTTGAACCAGCAGCAGGTGGTGATCAGAGCACTCTTGAAGCTGATGTTGTTCTTGTGTCTGCCGGTAGAATCCCATTTACATCAGGACTTGAGTTGGACAAGATAGGAGTTGAAACTGACAAGGCTGGCCGTATTTTAGTTAATGAACGATTTGCTACAAATGTACCTGGAGTTTATGCCATTGGCGATGTAATTCCGGGGCCAATGTTGGCTCACAAGGCAGAGGAGGATGGGGTTGCCTGTGTGGAGTTCATAGCAGGTAAGAAAGGCCATGTAGACTACGATTTGGTACCTGGTGTTGTTTATACACACCCAGAGGTGGCATCTGTCGGGAAGACTGAGGAGCAGGTGAAGACACTTGGGGTTGATTACCGTGTTGGGAAGTTCCCCTTTATGGCAAACAGTAGAGCCAAGGCAATTGATGATGCTGAAGGAATTGTGAAGATACTAGCTGAGAAGGAGAGCGACAAGATATTGGGTGTCCACATCATGGCACCAAATGCTGGGGAGCTCATTCATGAGGCAGTTCTGGCCTTGACTTATGGGGCATCGAGTGAGGACATTGCGCGCACATGCCATGCACATCCAACAATGAGTGAGGCATTGAAGGAGGCTGCAATGGCCACTTATGACAAGCCAATTCACATATAGATGATGTGGTATCTTTGTTATTCTTCTCCTGTTATATTTTTGAGAGTTATCCACAACTTAGTAAGGGCTTTCTTATTCATGCCTGTCACTTGAGTAGATAAAGTGGTTGAACAGAAATCTCTTTTCTTCTTTTTCACCCTTCTTTTGGGATACGGTACTTCATTTGAATGCTTTGTTTAATGTGCTTAATAAGAATGAGAAATGCACGTTGAATTGATCCCACTGCAGTGATGCACAGTTATGGCAGTTGAAAATACTATGTCTACTATGAAAGATAATGGTGTTTCATTTTGTTTTAGTAGAACAGTGATAATTAGGAGATAGCAGCGTAACAGTGATTAAGATGGTAGATGGAACTAACTCTGATGAATAAGAGGAAAATTTTCTGGCTAGTAATTCAATAGAGAGCCATGACTGCAAGCATTTGAATCTTAGGCTTAACACTATCCACTACGAGATTAGCCCTTATCTGTGATTGGCGTTTATGGTTGTTCCTATTCTTTTTGATCTTTTGGTATTAAGGATTACTGCTTGGAGAACCAAGAGTTCAATTACGACATCTTCTTTCTGAGTAGAGTATTTGTTTGTATGGGAGACCTACTTCTGGCTAACTTCAAGATTATATTGCACTATCCTGTATACCTTTTTCACCCATGACTGATTTAAATTTCAGGTTGATAAAACTGTCACAGTTTTTAAATATACCAGCCCAGCACTTCTTGAAATATATTCTTGATGGGGGAACTTCTGGCATGGTTTTGAGATTGGTTGTGGGTGGATTCCTATTTGCTCAAATTAGACTTCACTTACTTTGGAACACCCCCCACCCCCCACAAAAAAAAAAAAAAAAAAAAAAAAAAGAGACTACTTTATATAGATAAGATCTTCCCATGTT